CAGCAACGGTTCGAAGGTCATCAGGCCAGATCTAAGCTCATTCATACCGGTTCATCCCAGATCCGGACGTTTTCTTATCAAACCGTTTCAGATCTGAGAGCAGACCCATCAACATGTAAGTCGCACAAATAAAAAGTGTCATACTAAATATATAATAATATATATATTTTTGTAAAAGGTATTTAAATTTTCAACTACTTTTTTTTCATTAATTTTATATTTTAAGAAAAAAAAATTAACAAGCACCCGTGTAATACACGGGCATTGTACTAGTAATTCATTCATTCCAAAAAAAAAATAATAAAAAAATATCCACGTTCTTCATTAGTTTTTATGTTGGGATAATTTATTTTCCAAAATAATTTATATCTAATGGCACCCTATGGGTTAAATTTCATAAATCAATATAAAAATTCTATATTTAATTTAGGTAAGGCCAATAGTAACTATTGCTTGAACTTTTTACAACTAAATTTTAAATGTAAAGGTATTATTTTTATTTAAATAAACAATTTGACATTTGTGTTCTAATATTGATAATTAGACTTTATGGAGTTTTTGTAAACAAAAAGTCGAGCAGCTCGTTGAGCTTACGAACCTCTTGAAATGATGCTCGAGGCTCGACTTTTTTGCTCGATTGAATTGCTTGAGCTCGATCGAGCTCGAGTTGAGCATTGACTCGACTCGTTTGCAGCTCTAGGTATTCTAATTGGTAATTGAAACAGTGAAATTTGGGATTTATATAAAAGAAAAAATAATTGTATATGTATTCATTTGGAAACATATATTACCCACACGTTGTCATGATACATAAAAATTATAATCGCTATTTTGCCGTAATACATAAAAAATATAAATTGATATTACAATCTGAAACTATCAGAATCGTTAGGGTGGAAACCATTGATTATATTTATTATAAATACATTTTTATATAAAATAAGTGTTTCGACTTGAACTTCAAGCTCGTTAATTAACATTTAAAATCGGGCTGACTGAGTCAAATTAATTTTGTTTGTCCCATACAAGAACAACTTTTTGCATACAAAGTGGTCCATTGCAAATCAAGCAAGTGAATGTATTCATGACTTAGAAAAAAAAAAATAATAAAAAAAAATAAAAATAAAAACAGTTACCTATTTTGCCTTGCTTAAAAAAATAAACACTGAGTTGCCTGCCTTACTACTCCATGCAAACGGCTTGGATCCCGTCGGCGATTTGCGGGGGACTGGAGAAGAGTTGTCGAAGGTTCTTATGGGGGGGTTCAGAATCAGCTAAAAAGGTGCACTTAGTCAACTGGAACTCAGTGTGTAAGCCCAAAGAAGAGGGCGGGCTCGGGCTAAAAAACCAGAGACGGATGAATATGGCACTTCTTATGAAACTGGCATGGGGACTCCTCAGTAAACAGGATGCTCTTTGGGTTCGGGTCCTTTGCGCCAAGTATAAACTTCGCCCTAGTTTGATACCACCTAACTTTCATTTTCCAACGGGCTCGGTGATGATTCATGGCTTGGCTCGAGTATGGTCCTAGATGACGAAAGGGGTCCGGTGGTCATTAGGGGCAGGAACTCAAGCTCGCTTTTGGTGGGATAACTGGTTGAACTCCCCGGTGCCTTTAATTAATCGTGTGCTTGGGCCTATTCCCGAAGACCAAGTGTCATGGACTGTTTCGCAATATGTAAACGCCCAAGGGCAATGGGACTGGCCTAGTTTCTAGTCCTGGTTGCGGCCATCGGACCTTCTCCGAATTTCAGCGATTCTACCGCCTCAAGCTGGGGCTGGACACGATACGCTTTTTTGGGCCTGGTCTCCTAACGGACGATTTACGACCAGGTCTGCGTACTCCTCGCTCTCTCCAACGATTTCGGATCCGCACCACCACCTGTGGTCATTGATTTGGAGATGGGTCGACCCACAAAGAGTTCGCCAGTTTTTATGGCTAGTCTCATTAGAGAGGCTCTTAATGAATGGAGAGCGACATCGGCGACACCTCGCGGCTAGTCCGGTATGTGAGCTCTGCAAATCCCAATCGGAATCAACGCTCCACGTATTACGGGATTGCGATGTTCCGCGCCAGTACTGGAGGAAGTTGGTGCCTCGTTCGAGATGACAAGAGTTTTTCGGCCTAACACTAGACAAGTGGCTGGAATTAAATCTGTCCAGTCAGTTGGATATTTCCGATGACAGCTGGGACTGTACGTTTGGAGTTAGTCTATGGCGACTTTGGCACGGCCGGAACAACTTTATCTTTAATGGCTCCGTTCCTTCGGTTGACGGGAAAATCCACGAAATTCGACATTATGTGGACACTTTCTAACAGGCGCGCTCGAGCCTTAGTAATCTCGGGCATGTGGGCAGTCAAAGGCGTGAGTACATGATCTCTTGGGAGCCCCCGATGGAGGG